TAAAAATTCTGTTTTTAATGATCTTTATAATATATTAGATACTAATGAGGGTGAAAAATATATGTATAAACTAGCCAAACGAAAAAAAAAGAATAGTAAAGATTTAATTCAAGTAAAGTGTATTAAAGATGAAAATCAAAAAGTATTTTTTTTAGAAAAAGATATTCAAAATAGGTGGGTGAGTTATTTTGATAAATTTTTTAATGAAATTTCTGAAAATGCGATCGACCTTAGTGATCTTAATATCGTGAATACTAATAAAACGTTTCATTTTTACCGTCGCATTAGTAAAAAAGAAGTTGAGGAGGCTTTAAAGAAAACCAATGGTGGAAAGTCTGTAGGACCTGATGATATCCCAATTGAAGTGTGGAAATATTTAGGAGATTTGAGAGTTTCTTAGCTTACTAAACTCTTTAATATTATTTTAAAAACTAAAAAGATGCCTGAGGAGTGGAGGAAGAGTATTTTGATCCCCATTTTTAAGAATAAAGGGGATGCACAAGAGTGTGCAAATTATAGAGGAATTAAGTTGATGTGTCATACTTTAAAATTATGGGAGAGGGTAATTGAACATAGGTTAAGATGCATCACGAAAATTTCTCATAATCAATTTGGATTTATGCCGGGCAGGTCTACTATGGAAGCTATACATTTATTGTGAGGTTTGATGGAGAAGTTCAGAGATAATAAGGAGAATCTACATTTGATTTTTATTGATTTAGAAAAAGCTTACGATAAGGTTCCAAGAGATATCCTTTGGAGAGTTCTTGAGAAGAAAGGTGTTGATATGACTTATATTCAAGTCATTAAAGATATGTATATTATAGTTGTTACTTGTGTTCAAACTGAAGGAGGATTGACCAAATATTTTCCTATTTCTGTTGGATTACATCAGGGATCGACTTTAAGCCCATATCTTTTTGCTTTAGTTATGGATGGTCTGACTAGACATCTACAGGAGGATGTACCTTGGTGTATTCTTTTGGTTGATGATATCCTTCTCGTGGATAAAATGAGAGAAAAATCCCAGAAAAAGTTGAGTTATGGAGGTCTACATTGGAGTCTAAAGGCCTTCATTTAAGTTGAACTAAAACTGAATACATGGAATGTAATTATAGTAGTAGTAGCTCTAGTGACAGAAGTGTGACTTTGGGTGATCAAATTATTAAAAGGTGTAAACGTTTTAGATAGCTTGGGTCCGTTGTTCAAAGCGATGGTGATATAGATGGGGATGTTAACAGTAGAATTCAAGTTGGTTGGTTGAAGTGGAGGAATGCTTTGAGCCTTTTGTGTGATAGAAAAGTGCCGCTTAGACTGAAAGGAAAATTTTATAAGATGGTCATGAGACTTGCAATGCTCTATGGCGCTAAATCTTGGCCTTTAAAAGAGAAGCATAATAATAAGTTAAGTGTAGCCAAGATGAGAGTTTTTAGGTGGATGAGTGGCTTTACACTTAGAGACAAAATGCGAAATGATTATATCCGTGACAGGGTTGTGACGGACAAAATTAGAGAAAGTCGTCCTAGATGTTTTGGTCACATTAAACTTCGACCATCTGATGATCCGATTAGGAGGGTAGATGTTTTAGATTCAAATTGTGTTAAGAAAGGCAGATGTAGACCTAGGAAGACTTGGGCTTATTGTATAAAAAATGATCTTAATTTACTAGAACTAAATAAAAATATGACACTAAATAGGACGCAATGGAAAAAAAGGATTCATGTAGCCGACCCCACGTAGTGGGATTAAGGCTTTGTTGTTCTTGTATTATGTATTTTTTATTTGTTTTATTATGTTTTATTTCTTTCTTATATGCTTTATTCTGTTTTATTTCTTTTGTTTTGTTGTTTCTATTGAAAATTAGGTTTAAATACTCCTCATTCTATCAATAATATTATGTTGCTCTATTTCAAATCTCAACAATACAACAACAACAACAATGTAACCTTTATCATACTAAGTGGGGTCAGCTACATGAATCCTATTTAGTGGTATTTCACTGTATTCCAAATCTCGACAATAATTAAAAAAAAAAAAGGTTAAAGTTTGAAACTTAAATATTTTCCACCTCTTAATTTTTTTGTTTCGCCACCACCTCTTTAAATTTTGATTCTGCCATTGCTTACATAATTGAGAAATGGAGAGATTAACACATCTGTACACTCTACGTCACCCTACTCATCAATAGGATTTCTCTTGCTTTGTTCGCAGAAGCTAATAAATGAGATGGGCGTACCAGCAATATTCACTGACTTTTGCGAGGAGGCTGCATTTCTTGCTGCTAGATGCATTTGCAGCGTAACTGGTCATCCTCTATCCATTCCGGTGGGTTCCGTATTTTCAGCTTTTCATTTGTCGATATCTGTCAATCCTTATTTTGTTTAGGACTTATTTTGTTTAGGACTTATTTGAGATCAATTTTGCTTTTTTACTTTTAGCTTTTTATCTTTATTTTTAATAACATATTCATTTAGTATACTATTTCATATTTTTATATTATGTTTTTGAAAACACTCAAAATAATTTTCATGTGTTTTTAAAAGAACAACTATGCCTTGATCATAGTCCAACATGTCATAAACAAATAAAAATATAAAAGAAAAAAAAGGTGATTCCACAGTGGCCCATTAGTGTTTTTGGGATATACATATTTATTAGGGTCTATTAATATGTCAGTGTTATTTATCAGTTACTTTGTTCGATTCAGTATTATTATATTGAGATGTTATGTTATCTATATATTAAAATAAAGTGACAGATCTCTTTGGATGTCATGATATTATATGTCCGGCTTATTTTGTCATCATTGATTGTTTATATGAATAGAAATTGAGAATAGGATGTTATATAAAAGTAAATATAAAGTTTTAGGTGTTACCTATGTATAGAAATAAGAATTCTAACATGTATGCAAATCCCCCCCTTTTTTTTTGAATCAAAATCAAAATTCAGAAAACTCAACTTAAAAAATAGTTGCTTTGTTGCACAAGTGAATATACTTTCTATCATGTTCTTTTAAATAATAATAGATATTTATTATACTTGAAGATTCAGGTGAACCCGTTTCGGCAGCCATTGGTGATGGAGGATCAAGCTCTTTACCTCCCTTGCTACTCCAATTGCTTCATTTTTGGTATGTGATGCTATTTTGTGACACCTCCATATTAACTCTGAAAGGCTACTAACAGACAGAAGTATGAACATATCTATGCATTTGGGTTGGTCTCTCAAATGCTGTAGAACAGAGAAATTGAATTTAATGATGTTAGGATTCATCTCTATGGATGTAAATTAGAATATCCAAAATAAAGTATAAATTATGTTTTTTAAAGTATTGTAATTTTATTAGTAACATAAACTATTTGATTTAAGGCAATCTTATTGTGAATTTTAGATTCATTGTTTAGTTGAAGTTCTTCTCAGACGACGAATTCAAAGTAAATATTTTCATGTTTTTACTTATTTTGATGTGAAGTTGAATTTATATTTTTTAGGTATTTCAATGAGTTTAGCTTTTTACTTTTTTTAAGTAAAATCAAGGAGATGGTTGAAGTTATCAGATGTAATTCCTCCAAAAGAAAATAAAGAAAAATCACCTAGAAGCTTTCCCCCTTAACAAGAAGAAGAAGAGCTTCTAGAACACTCAAAGAACTCTCTTATGTAGCAAGCCTTCACCTCCAACCATCTAAAGATATTTCTCCTTGTCCAATGTGGTATATTTATAAAGGTGACACAACAAAGGTAAGAAATTCATTCTAAATCTGAATTCTACGTCAGACACGAGTGCACTAGGATTAGGTGCATGTGCGCTGCACCTCGGTGAATGGGATGCAGGACTACATATAGGTGGGTGTGGGTGCGTGGTAGCTAGGCTTAGCGGTGCGACAACTTTAACAAACAGGCATAGGGGCACTTGAAAGCAGCATGACTGCGTTGTCATTCGAGTGTGGGTATGTCATGCTCTTTGTCTCCTGTGATGGCAGAATTGGGGTTCGACATAGGTGGGCTCTGAGCAGCTAGGCTTAGTGGTGCGACAACTTTAACAAACAGACATAGGGGCACTTGAAATCAGCACGAGTGCGTTGTCATTCGAGTGTGGGTATGTCATGCTCTTTGTCTCTTGTGATGGCCGAATTGGGGTTCGACGTAGGTGGGCTCTGAGCATGTGTTGGCACGCTACTCTCAATGATCTTGCACGTGCACACTATACATTAGGGCATAGGTGTGTTTGTCTAAATCTCCCTTTTTGTTCCAGTTGACCTCCTTTTTTCTCCCGAGCGGTTTAAACCTGTGACCTACACAAATTGAGTAAAATATAATTCTCAAATGTCATAATATCAGAGACATGCAATAACAAGGATAAACCTGCATGAAAATTTTTCACATAATTCATTCACATCAAATCACCCATATTTATCTATTACTTACCCTCAGATAATCCTATCACTTTCGCTCAAATTTTGGAGAATTAGGTTTGGCATAATCTTATGGGATGTCCTTGCTTTCAATAATGTGGGGTATTTGGGGTGAGAATCTATTAAGGCTTTGTGACTTCCATCCTTAATTGGAATTTTTGTGAATCCATAATCACTTCTATCTTTCTTTAATCACATTTTTCTTAAGTTAGATCTTCTCCATTCCACCTAATTTAGTGTGACTACAGGTCTTTTAATTAATCCTAGGTGGTTTTAAAATCTTAGTTCTTTTTCAAACAACTGACTGACCCTTAGTTTTTTCCTTGGTTCATAAGATCCCCAACTCTCATTAAGAAGATGCTTAATTTATCCAAGTTAGGGAGGTGAGCTGAAACCAGAAATTAAATTGCTTTTTTTCTTAACCTCAAGCTTCTTCTCCAATATATCAATCATTTCCACTTTTTAAGCAAGCTTTTATTTGGATTACTTTTCTCGCTTCTTTTCTTATTTTTCTTTTTTTCTTTTGTTTTTCTTTTTTCTTTTCTGAGAGAATTATTACATCTGTTTAAGCAAGAATTTTTTATAATTCCAAGCCTCTAGTTTTCCCTAAGTTAGATATTTTAATTAACACTTATTATGAGCTAGACAGATCATATAAATCATTCAAACTCAAATTTAGCCATCGTGTTTGAATTAAGTTTTAAAACTTAAGAACTCTTAGATTAATTAGTCATTTTTATAGGCACACCTTTTCAAATATTTTGAGATATCTATGTTAAGAGAAAGGGTGATTAGATTTTAATAGTAGTTTATCATTGAAAACTCAAATTCCAACTTATATATGGATTTCACATTACCTTAACAAAATTTTCCTTTCATTATCAAATAATAAGGGTTCATAAAATAATACATAATATCAAATAAATCTGAGCACAGTGGTAGAATTATTTTTAGGCCACTACATGTATGTCATTCCCTCCCCCAAACTTTTTTCTGCCCTCCCTGACCACTTAATAATTCATATTGTATCAACAAGGAATAGTAAAAATAGGGACTAAAGTGTCAAAGACATGCAACACTAATAAGTAGCAGCTACACTATCTATATGTGTATAAGAGTAACCTGAAAACGTGTAAAGAATCATCTCATATCAGTATAAGTACTCAAAAGTCAATAAACAAACCAGTAATGGAATCAATACGGTAATATTAACATCAATGTATTACATAATCCAAAAAAATCCATAAATAAAGGCATCAGTGTCTTAACATGCTACAAACATATATAAGCATAAAAACATCCATAGTTCAGCAAACAAATTGCCTCATGAAAAAATACACACAGAAATAAAAATGTAAATCAGCTCTCTCCTCCTTTCTCATTATCATCATCATTTGCCTCTATGGGTGTAGTGTCATACTCAAACATCTAGAATGATGGAGGTGTGGGAATATGATTGACCCTCGTCTAGTTTTCCACCCCTCTCAGTGGTAGAACTCCTGCTTAGCAACAAATTATTGATGCATGTAGTCATACTGCTGTTAGGGTTGCATGTCATAATGGTGTGATCTATCGTACAAATCATGCAGCTCTCAGCCTAGGGTTCGATATTAGTGGTGAGAGAGTCAATCTGCTAGGCTAGTGTAATTACAGATCTAGCCAGTCTTATTGAGGACGACTCATATCTCGAGGAACTCTCTCCCCTTGAACTCTCTTCTCTCTTTTCTCTCCCTCTCTCTGTCTCTCATCAAATTATTCTTGTAAGAGTGGATATTTGCCTTGATGATTGGCATGATAGTGTTCAACAGCTCCTATTTCCCCAACCACACCGGTGACGACAAACAATGTGTTAACTTGATGCGGGTGCCCCATCCCTGCAGTGGTACCTTCTCTGACAATACGACCCAGGGAGAGAATCAGGACCAATCTGATGTCTATTGTCTTTCCCTTCTGGATGTTGTAATTCAGGATAGCTCGATCCTTGGTCACCTTAGTCAAATTTATTTTGGGCATCATTTGTGCACATATGAAATACTGTCAGGACTTTGACTCGTCTGTCGTGGTGGAAATAGGGGAATTCATAATTTTCCCCTCACACATGCATCACCGGGTTCTATGATTAGTGTTAAAATGATGACTTCCTCAAAATAAGGAGTCGTAAAGTTGGAATAGTCGCACTCAGGTATGTCTAGCATATTCATAAGGGTAATTATGGTGGTGGCGTCTTAGCTCGCCCATTTACCCCGTATGAAGACCATATCATTCATGGGTTCTTTTGCTTTTTCAAAGAACTCATGGATGATCAGGAATACAGTTGGGGAAATGGTATAAGAAAATGCTCTTAGCTCCATTTGACAATAACCATCTCTATTTGAACCCCAAAAATCAGAAACACCCTTTCAGGTATCAACTTCTTCGATGCTAGGAAGTCATTATATCGATTTGATGCATCAAGCTTACAAACTTACTATTATCAAAGGAGATCTCCTTCCTTCCTTTTATTTTGGGTGCCATAAGCTTAGGATCAAGGACACAAAGGAGATCTCAAGGAGTACGAGTTAAACCAACCACAAATGGTCTGATGACTACCTCAACAGACAATGAGCACATGATTCCTCCTCTCCTACTAGACCCAATGATCTGGTGATTTTGTGGTGGTAAGGGCTACCTTTACCTCTTACGTAGTTTGCTAGGGCATGCATGCAACAAGGAGCCAAAGGGGAAAGGGAATCATGAAAAAATAGTGAAAATTCCACGGCTGGTCGAACTTAAAGGGACTGGCGTAGGTGCACTATCGAGCATAGCACGGGTGCCCTAATGCATTGTGACTAGGTGCGGGTGCACTATCATAATGCAATTATTCTCAAAGTCCTTAAGGTAGAACTGAGTGGCATCTTGGCACAGGTGTGAAAGATATATGGCATGGGTACGCCCAATGATAGTACAGTTGTGCCCATAATGGAGCATGCCGATGCTACTTTCTATGGCTATCGAATAGAGGTGTTTGTGAGAAATCACATGCACACATATGAAGGGTGCATGTGCTCTTATTTAAATTAGGTGTGCTATAATCTATTATGGTGCTGCTAGATCAGAGAGGTCCCGACGCGGGTGTGTTAGGGGCTTAGCGTGGGTGTGCTTGTCGAACTATTCTCCCTAATGGCTTTTTTCTTCCTTTTCACCCCACCAACATGGATCAGCTAGTCTGTAGAGGTCCTGACACATAAGAAAATAACATGCAAAAAAAAAAAAAAGAACTTTAACACATAAATGACATCAAAACGAAATCAAAGTTTAAATCAAATACTAGTATAACACTTAGGTTGCCTCTCTAGATAGTTCTTGATTTAACGTTCTCAGCCAAACAATGTTATATATACTATCAAGATGATTCCAATAACAAGATTTCCCTAGGACCCTTCCTATCACCTCATAGGTATAACTTTGATCTCTGGTAATTAAATTTGGAAATGTTATTTGTCTTACTATCCTGAATATATACGACCCCAAATGGATACACCTTTGCAATAGGAACAATCACGATCATCTAGACTTTGATTTTCTGGAAAATAATTTCATTTGTGAATTATATAATAAAAAATATTATACAGGTTAAAGTTCTTGTCTAATCAACTTCTGATAATGCCACTTCATCATCTTCTCCTTATATATTTTGACATTCTCATAGGCTTACTATCTATTTTCATCTTGTTTGTTCAAACATAATAATTTTTTCTCTTCCACATCTTTGAAGTTATAATTAAATTCTTTAACTGTTTAGTAGGCCTTGTGCTTCAATTATACTGGCAGATGATAGGCTTATCTGAAGATCAATTTGTAGAGTAACAAACCTATGTACATTTTGAAAGCAGTCCTATAAGCCCACAATGTCTCTCATCAAGCCTAAGGAATAATTCTTCTGGCTAGGGTTGACCATTTTCTGTAGAATCATCTT